TAAATTCTTCAGAACCATTCTGAAGCAGGTACTATTATGATCAACACTTCACCAGCAAAGAAACTGAGACACAGAGTGGTTAAGTAACTGGCCCAAAGACACACAGCTGGAAAGTAGCAGAGCTGGGATCCAAGATCTCAGGCAGTCTGGGTCAGTACTCACAGAGATCATCCTTCTCTCCCTCTTATTTAATGCTCTCGTCCCACCGGAACGTGACCAAGGCTGACAACTATCTGCACTCCTGAGCCCCTCTACCCACCTTCATACTGGGCTGGCTAAGCGTGGGGCCCACGGTTATACTGCCTCCTTCCTGGAGGCCCCAGGGTCCCTGTCATGCCCACTGCAGGCTGCCCACCTCAGTGCCCCATGGCCCACGATCCTGGTCGCAGCTTATCAGACCACCACGGGCCTGCCACAGGCCTGCGAGATGGCCTGACATGAGGGTAGCTGGTGACTGAACAGTCCCATAACGCCCAGAGAGGGTGAGGCAGAAGGACAGAGACCCCTCTGGGATAAGAGAGCATCTCCAGACCGGAAAGCCAGAGTGAGGGTGTCCGTGCCTGGAGAGAAAGGGAGTGAGTGGCAGTGCAGACAGTGTGTGAGATGCAGCAGGGTGTGAGGGACAAGTGTGGGCTGAGACTAGGCTCCAGGGTGTGAGCCAGACCTGCATTCAAATCTGGACCCCACCCTGCTTTTACTGCTTGTCTCTTGCAAATCAAAGCTAAGACCCAATGGAGATACTAGAGCTAAAGACAGGGCTCTGGAGCCAGATCATGTGGGCTTGCATCCCAACTCCACTACTTACCAGTGTATAACCTGACCTCTTTGTGCCTCAGTATTCTCATCTGTAAATAGGGGATGATGATAGTTGCTGCATTTATGGTTGCTAGGAAGATTAAGCATCTGCACATAAGTACTTCATACAAAGGTAACTATAACATGATATAGCTCAGAGTAAATAAGTTATATTTAGAACAGCACCTAGCACCTAGTAAACACAGTATCAGTTAAATATGTCTTTCATAGGACTGTCCTGAGGGTTTAAAGAAAAGCATTTGAAAATGGTACATTGTTTATGCTTAATGAATACCCATTCTCTCTCCTTGCGATGGATACATTTTCAAAATCAGAATCCTCCATCCTGTGGTCATTTGTTTTACAATGGTGTTCCCCTCAGCCTTGCACACCCCCCACACTGGGCACCCCAAGCGCAGCCCTCTCCTGTGCTGGCTGCGAGTCTGCCCAGGTGTGGGCTGCACGTGGCGTGCTCTCCAAAGCACTGTCTTATTCGTGAGCCACTGATGCTGATAACAAGAAAGGGACTGATAGTGGGGGGGGGGGGGGGCAGTTGCTTTAGCCACTGTGTGACCTTGGCCAGACCCCGCACCTCTCTGGGCCTATTTGCTCATCTGTAAAAGAGGATAATATCCCTGTCCTTTGACCTGTCAACAAAGAATGTCCAGCCTGAAGAAAAGTCTTATAAGAGTTTATTTGAACCAAACTGTTAAGAATTGCTGGGAAGCAAAATCTCAAAGGACTGTGAAAATGCTCTAGAGAAAGGCAGTTTTACAGCTATATTATACATTAGAATCAAAGGAGTACTAAGAAGGATCACATGAAGTTCACTGGTAGTAGATTAGGGAGGCAGAAGAAAGCAAAGTGGGGTGGGGGTTCTCTAGGATTGGATAAAGAATAAAATGGAGACCCTGGCTGGGTAGCTCAGTTGGTTAGAACATCTTCCCGATACACCAAGGTTGCAGGTTCGATCCCTGGTCAGGGCACATATGAGAAGCAACCAAGGAATGCATGGATGGGTGGAACAACAAAATCAACGCTTCTCTCCCTCCCCACCCCTTGCTTCTCTCTGTCTGTCTCTAAAATCAATAAATAAGTAAACATTTTTTTAAAGAGTGAACTGGAGAGACACATACTTCTTTTACATTGGTAGGTACACTATACTTAACAATTACAGCACACAGAGATGGTATGTGGATGAGAAGATAACAGTGAAGGGTTCTGTGATCTCTGTGCTGTGCCCTGAGGGGCGGTGGAAAGACAATCACTCTGACATTTCAAAGGTATGTCCTCTTAGACGCAAAAAGACAGTAAACAGGTTTGCTTAAGGTAGACTAACCTTTGTCAAAGAAGCTACAGGCCTAGGACAGGACTACCTGCCATGGCTCACTTGTAATTAGAAATGTTTACGTTCAGACCATTCTATGTGGTTACTTTCATTTTGTGAGGCTGCCATGCAGGCCTCCCCCAAGCTCGTCAGGTTTAACGTGTGGCCCCTTTTGGTCCATAAGCCTCTCAAAGCTGCTGTGAGCAGAAAATGGATTTAGGCTCCCACAGAGGAGCCAAGAGGTGTCCCTGTGGGATATTATGACAGGGTAGCCAAAGGAGGGGCTTGATGGGCCCAGGCCTAAAGGACCCGGGAAGGCCAGATCCAGTCCAGCTGGTGCGGAGGGCTTCCCTGAAGGGTGTTTTGCTTGGGGCAGTGTGTCCCTGAGACCAGAGTCTTCCCTGTAATCATTCACCAACCTGGCCTTGGCTGGGAGAAGCAGGGTTGCAGGCCTGAATCCCGCAGGGAGGCCAAATTTGGACATGGGCTAAGAGCTTGTCCAGTGCAAGAGATGGAATGTGGCCAGGGCTGGGGGAGGGAGGAACTGCATTCCCCATGACTGCCTCACTGTGATAGCTGCAGGTGGGGGTTCCAGCCAGCCCCTCCCCAGGCTGGGAGCACTCACAGCACAAAGAACTTCCTTTCTCCCCAGGGAAGGGGGGCCCATCCCAAGAAGCCAAGCATCAGGAAAAGTGCAGGATCTCAGACTGGCAGATGTGGGGGAGGGACACGTGTAGATGATGGGGGAGACTGTTCCACAGACAGCCCTAGAGGCTGAAATAACGACAAAAGAGAAGCCACACCAGCAATACTTCCTGTGAGTGAAGTACTTCTGGGGTTAGAAAGTGCTTCCCCCCCATTCATTATTCATTCTCTCTCCTGCTAGGGTTCTGAACCTGGACTGGGTAGGGGGACCATAACGTATGAGATAAGTGTGTGTGTACTAGGAGGCAGGGATTAGCAGGTGCGGGTGTGATCACACCTCTCATACTCCAGGTGTGATCAGGGAAGGAGAAGGAAAATCTGGACACCAAAGGAGACCAGACCCCTAAAAACAGAGGAGGAGTGCTAAGATGGTCCCTCTTGGGGTTCATTTGTGCACCGGGCAGCTCCAGAGTGTGCTGCTCACAAAGCCTGCTCAGCCCTTGGCCTGGGGAATGGTGATGGGGGAGGGGTGCTGGAGGGACAGGCAGCTGCTTAATGCACAGCCTGAGAGTATCCTCCCTCCCCTCAGGCACAAGGATATTTTCAGTGTAAATGGTGCTCCCTGGATTTGTACAATGTGGAGCCCAGGGCCCTCAGCCAGGCTGCTAGCTTGGGCCATGCAGGCGAACCACTGGCCTGGCCTGTCCAGAGCTGAGAAAACAGAGGAAGTGTGGTGCCCCCCGCCCCCACCACCCGCCAATTCATTCCCTCATCCTTCCCCTGGAAACATCTTGCTAAAGGTTGTTTCCAGAGGCAACTTGGGGAAACTGGTGGAGAACAGGTCAAAGCCGAATGTTAGGGGAAAACACAGCTGGAGTGTCACCTCTGGTGCCCCCTCTGTCCCTCCTCTTGGTCCAGGCTGCTTTCCTGGCCACAGGCCCATTCGGTGACTCCTGGAGAAGCCCCAAATCTGACATCCTGGAGTGTATGTTTGTGTGCACCTGTTACAATACTTCTGTGTGTGCCCCTTGTGAACACACTCTGCGTTCTCTGAGTGCCTGCTCCTTGGAACACCACAGATGTTGCATGCACTCCCAGATGAGCGTGCTGCTGGGAGCGTACGTGCATACACGCCTCTGGGGGCAGGTAGGTCCAAGAGTTTATGAAACTGAAAGAGAAGTTCTTCTGGATGACCAGAGACCAGCTGATGCTATGATTTCCAGAGGCCTGGGATGTAGCCAGATCTCCAGGGAAAAGGGGAACGACAGTGACAAAGGCCGTGAGGAATGCAGAGTAAGTGGAGACACAACTCTCACACTCTTGCCCCCGGTCCTTCTCTCACAGTATGGCTCTAAACCCAAAGACCCCGCTGTGTAGCCCCAGCTCTGGCTTGGCCCTGAAGGAATCTAGGGTAAGCAAACAGGGCCCAGCCCTCACCTCCTGAAGGAAAAGTTATCATCACCATGTGGAGATCATCCTGTGGGAGATCCCAGTCTGTTAGGGGAGCAGGCTCCTGCTCCAGGAAGCCCCAGTCTGAGGATGGAGATACCACCCCCAAATATCACCTGAACACTCTCTCTCTCTCTCTCTCTCTCTCTCTCTCTCTCTCTCTCTCTCTCTCTCTCTCTCTCTCGTCTTGAGGTAGGAGGAGAAAGTTCCTAGAGGTTGGTACTAATGACAGCTGTTCCCGCTGCTAGGTTTCCCCCATCCCAAGCCCAAAGCCAGGGCAAGACCCCTGGACTGGTGGGAGGCGCCTCTGCCCTCAGTGGCTCCCTGCCTTCCAGCCTCGCCTGTAACAAGGAGCAAAGGCTAAGCAGAGCGCCAGGCCCAGGCCCCGCGAGACCAGAGCTAGGTTATAAATAGGCCTGGGGCCCAGCCTTCCCGGGAGGGTTGGAGAGCCGGACAGCAGAGAGCTTTGCCGCTGACAACGGGGAAAGACCACTTCTACGAGATCCCCTCTGAGAAGAGAGATGCAGGCCCCGTCTTCCAAGCCCACCTTAGCCCCAACCCCGACTCCAAGAAGCGCCGCTCAGTCACCTCTGCCTCCTTGCCTCAGTTTTCCTTTGAGTCGGTCCTGCCTGAGGACGTCTGTCTTTGCAACCCTCAAAGTGAGCCTGGCCGGGGCGCTGAGCCTTGTCTCCAGCATCCCGGAGCTCTCCGGAATGGAGAGCCGCGCTATCCCCTAAGTGACCCCCACCCTCCCCGCCAGGCGGGGATCGCAGGCCCCTCCTACCTGCAAACACTGCGGAGCAGTAGGCATCGCTGATGTCCGTGTCTGGGGTGTGGACGTTCTCGGCATAAAGAATGAAGACCCTCAGCATGACTGGCGCGAGTCAGGGCCCTGCGCGCCCAAGGCCGTGGAGAGGGCTGGGTAAGGTCGCGGCTGGCGGAGTTGCAGCTCTTGGGTCCCCTCACGAGAGAGAGAGACGGCTGGCAGAGGGAGGCGGGTTCAGATCACTGGCTCCCTTCTCAGATCTGCTACTCTCAAGGAGAACTGGCCAACCCTGGGCGGCTCCAGGGGGCTACCTTCGGTCTCCGCCCCGCTGCGCTTACCAGGCTGGTCAGCGCGCCCTCGGAGAACAGGGGCTTCTGCTCATCTTCCACCTTCGCCACCCTACCCAGGCTCGGCTGAGCTGTAATTCAATGCTCGGGCCGCAGACTCTCCCAATGACAAGGCATTTTGCACCTGGCGGTGGAACAGCGAACTGGGCGGCGGCCGCGATGGCCCGGGGCTAGACCAGAGCTCCGGGTGCCCCTCACAGTCCAGATTCCTCTCCAGAACTGCAGTGAGGCTCGGCCCCGCCCCTGACCTTCCACCTCCAGCCTTGAGCGGAGCAAGCTCCTCGCCTCCTCCCGCCGAGGGATTCCAGCACAATCCCGCCGAGCCAGCGGGACCGCCCTGGGGAGGAAGCGACATCCCGGGGACAGGCGGAGGAGCAGGCGCTCGGCAGGCGCCTTCCCCAAGAGAAGCGCGGCCTGAGGAATTTCATTGACAAGAAGGGCCGCCCGCCTTTAAAATTTCGCCCCTCTTTTATGATTGTAAAAGCAACAGCTGTTACTTTTGAAACAAAAAGCCCATAAGAAAGAAATCTCTGAGTCTAGGAAAAAATAGAATTTGCATTTGGATATTTATCAAGCCAGACTTTTCCCTGTGAATGTATGTATATATGCATGTTAATTACAGTATTTATCATATATCTGAGACCTTGTCCTATTTCATGTACCATTTTTTGCATTGTTAAACATTCTTCATAAACATTTTTTCAACAGCTACATAATTTTCCATCATATGAATGTACTAGATTCACAAAGCTTTCTCTGATCATTACACATTTAGGCTCTTTCCAGCTTCTCACTATCGTATTAGTGAGAAATAACTTTTTATATAAAAACTGGGATAGAAACCCATTTCAGTCCCCCTCTGCTAGTTCCTCAGATTGGATTCCGAGCCTTGGAAAAGGACGTGCCTTTTTTTAGGTCCTAGTACCTATTGCTACACCGCTTTCCCGGAGCTGTGTAGATGGGCACTCCCAGCAGCTGGGTGACTCACCTTCTAAAGAGGGCTACATGGGTGGGTTCACAGCTGTCGGCACGAGCACCCAGGGCGGGGAGGGTCAGCTGCTGACAGGGGGCTGGTTTGGCCCCATAAGGAGGTACTAAGAGGCAGCAACACTCCCGCAAGGGCCTATAATTTTAAGATCAGGATAGCAAACATTTCCTGTGGCCACTTACGGTTCTCCAGTTGCAATCGGTGCCTCCTCTTTCATTTGCCTCTAGCACAAAATATGATGAGGGAGGGAGGGTGGGAGGGGGTAAATTCAATCATTCGTTTGACAGGTATGTATCCAGTCCTACAACGTGCCCAGCGTCAGCCTGGAAGGTGGGGACACAACGGTGGGCACAAGTTACACAGTCCCTGTTCTGTATGGGCTGAACTGTGTCCTGCTAAAACCCAGATGCCGCAGCCCTGACCCCTGGTTAGGACTGTATTTAAAGATAGGGCCTTTAAAGAGGTGATTAAGTTAAAATAAGGCTGTTAGAGTGGGTTCTAATCCAATCTGATGGGTGTTCTTCCGCGAAGAGGAAATTTGGACACACAAAGAGACAGCAGGGATATGTGCGCACAGAGGAGAGACCAGGTGGGGACCCAGTGAGAAGACAGCTGCCTGCAAACCAAGGAGAGAAGCCTCAGAAGAAACCAAACCTGCCGGCCAACAACTCGATCTTGAATTTCTAGCCTCCAGAACAGTGAGAAAATAAATTTCTATTTATTTTCCAGTAAGTCGCCAGCCTGTGGTATTTTATTGTGGCACTTTGAGAACTTTCCACTTCAGTGGAGGAAACTGATACTTATGAAATAATCAAGCCAATCACAGACCATTACAAATCTGTATGTGTAAGAAATTGGGTGGGCGTGAGAGCAGATGGCAGGGACCCAGAGACAGTGAGGGCTGTTTGAAATGAGATCTGAAGGCCAATGAGGAGTCATTGGATGAGACTGAGGTTGGGGCAGAGGACCAGCATGTTCTAGAGAGAAGGTCGAGAGCACCCTGGGTCAAGGCCCTGGGAAGAATGAGAGAAGAAAGAGCGACGTGACTAGAGCACAGATTGTGAGGGCAGAGGGCCGGAGGAGGGGAGGCTGTAGAGAACCAACGGGGCTTGTGGGAAGGTACCTAAGGCCTGCAAAGTCCGGGGGAATAACAAGAAGAGCTGATTTACTTTTCAAAAACTCCCTCTGGCTGCTTTCTGGAGAATAAAGTGCAAGGGGCCACAGTGGAGGTGAAGAGACCAGTTAGAAGGTACAACAAAGTGTCCATCATGAGACATGATGGTGACTTGGCCCACAATGGTGAGAGTGGGGATGGAGCTAGTGAAGCCAGAGGAAGTAAGAGGGGCATTTTGCGGAGCAGTTGGAGTAGGTCAAGTATCTTGCTGTTCACTTGGCATTATGTTGCTGGAGGAAAAAAAAATGGCTTGGATTAACTATTGACTCATTCACTCATTCACTTAAAACCAAGACGTATAAGGTGCTTTGTATGTGGTGGGAGTTTGTCAGAGTTAAGTTTTAGAGAAGCATGCCAAGTAGGGAGTAAAATTTAATTTCGTTGGGAAGGGCAAGGCTCTGTTGATCTAGGGAAAGCCCATATTATGGTCTATTTTTAAAGAAGTACAGTTTGGCTCTATTCAGATGCATAAAGTAACATGAACCTGCTCTAAGGCAGGGCTAAAGTTAGATCTAAGAAGCACCTCGCTGCTTGCAAATACGGTGTGACTACAGTGGTTTGAAACAAACCAGTCTTCTCTATAGGTTAAATATCCCCCTTGCAACTTCTCTGCATCACTTATCCACACAGTAGGTTCTCTTCAAACCGTTCATGCACAGAGCCCCGTGTACAGAAATGAGCCCTAGTGAGAATGCGCCCTGACTGTACTCCTCTATATGTAGGAGATGTTTGAGGTATCTTCTCTATTTAGAAGGACTATGTTCTCTGAGACCCGCCCCTGGCAACAGGGAAAGACATATGACTCAAGCCGAGCCACTCTGATGATCTCTCCCTAGAACCTGGGGTTGAGACTGAGAGACTGAGCCTCAGTGTCTAGCTGAGCTGGGATGAATAAAACTGGCAGCTCAGAAAGAGCGACGTGCATGGCCAAGTGGAGAAAGTTCTTCAGTCATAGAAAAAGAGACCATATGCAGGAGGTCAGGTGGAAGGAACAGAGAGAGAAAGGTTGTTCCTGGATCCCATTCCTGATGAGTCTCTCTGACTGACCACAAATTCTGAGAAATGGCCTTGGAGGTGGTTGTCATGAGGGGCTCTCAGCTTTCTACCTCTCTCTTGTAAAATGCCTTCTCCCAAATCCTCATGAGTGGTCTTTGGGAACAGAAGTGACTGCCTCTCTCTCTGGAAACTGAGAGCCAGGCCTCCCTCTCGCCATCACTGCGCAGCACGGCCCAGATGCAGTCAGTTGGTCAGTCTCCTAAGATTTGAAGTAAGCACTTAAGGAGCTATAAGAAGTAAGATGTGGCAGCTGCAGAGACAGCCAGTGACCCACCTGTTCCTGCTGTGGGACGTAGAATCGCAGCTGTGGCTCCTGCCGCCCTGGGTCCTGTCCATTTCCTCCAGGAGGCTGCCAGCTCCCCACATTTTGTGAGCACCCAAAGCTTTCTTGTAATCCTCTCTTGCCTCAGATGCAAGGCTCAGTTGCTGTTGCTAACAGCTAAGAAGCCAAATGACATACAGTATCTTTCTGGTGAATCCTTCACATTTTGCTTAGGGTAACTTGAAGCATAGTTTTGTTTTTGTTTTTGTTTTTTGCTGCAAAAGAACCTCAGCCATGACATTCAAGATGCATTAAGCATCACCAGTGTCTTATATTTCTGCCTACCTTCTCTCTCTCGGAATTATGGTTGGGATCAGACCAGGAAGGAAGAGAAAGAGTGGAGCGTATGAAGAGTTAGAGTTTTGTTGTAACCCAGAAATCTCCTCGGAGGACAAGGTGGGATGTGTGTGTGTTACTGGAGGGGGGGGGCAGTTTTTATGGGCTGGGGCCCACCTTCTACTTGGGGCATCATGAGAGATTAACCAGCAGGGCTGCTATGTACTCGCAGGTATGGCTGCACAGGTAGGAACTGAGCACTGAGTGATGCATGCTGGTCCTCCTAGATTACAGCCGTGTCTGAGTCAGGATCTCTAGCTGGAGGCACTGAGCAGGCAGGCAGTCAGCTTCCACTCAGGAAGGCCCTAATGATGAGTTCTACTCTGTAGATAGCCTAGCCGACATGCAGAAGATATATATCTTCAGGTAGTTGAATTTATTAGTTCTTTCCCTTAAGGCTTCTACCTTTGTTGTCTTGATAAGTGTTCCCTGCCTCATCCTCAGGTTATATAAGGACTTACCTAAATTTATTTAGATTTGCTTAGGTTTACCTATATTTACCAGTTGAGTTTGTTCAATTCCTAAAATTCTCTCAAGTTACAGTTTGATTTCTCCCCTGGGGAAGAAAAGAAATAAATAGAGCACTTTCCAGCTTTGGCAATTTACAGAAATGTTATTTGAATCAAGGTCTTCTGGGACCATGTGGCCTGTGTCTGGGCAGAGGAATCTGGTGGGTAGGAAGTGGAGATGGTAACTGTATCAAATCCCAGTGATGTATGGCCACTGGCAGATTTAACGTCTCTGAGCCTTGGTTTCCTCGACTGTAAAATGAATACAATCAGTTTGTGGTGAGGATAAAATGAAAATACAATGCATGCAAAGCACTATTTAAGGGTCTTCCAAGGTCAAGGGGTGACTCTCCTCAGGGCTAGGTAAGATTTTTGTTTGATCATAGCCAGTAAGAAATTACAGTATATCAGGATATAGAAGCTGGTGAACATATTTTATTCATCCTTTATTTGCTATCAAATGCCAACATGTCCACTCCTTTTCTGCCCTCTGCTAAAAGTGAGATTCTTTAATTCTCTGGATCATACAGGGCCATGGGGGTGGGCTTGTCTGGCTTGAGTTTTGGGGCTGACAACACGGGGTACCTATTTCCTACAGCCAAGTGTGGTAGTCAGAAAAATCCCTCCAAAAGTTACATTTACTTCCTAATCCCCAGAACCTGTGAACATTACTTCATAAGGCAAAACATGTGATGAAGTTAAGCATCTAGAGAGGAGGCATTTATCCTGGATTATCCCACTGGGCCCTAAATGCAATCACCTACATCTTTGCAAGACAGGCAGTGGGAGGTTAGACTGGCAGAGGAGACGGCGAAGTGAACCTGGAGGCAGAGACTGAAGTGAGGGGGTCACAGGGCAAGGAATGCCAGGCCGCCACCAGAAACTAAAATAAGCAAGGAATGGATTGTCCCCCAAAGCCTCTGGTGGAAGCAAGCGTGGCAACTGCTGACACCTTGACCTTGGACTTGTGGGCTCCAGAGCTGCAAAAGAATAAATACATTCGTTGTTTTAACTGCCACAGTTGTGCCCATTGATTAGAGCGGCCATAGGAAACTAGTACCTCGAGCCTCTGACAGTGGAACCAGACCATTGTTGATAAGGGCAGAAAAGGAGGGTCAGCTCTCCCATCTCACTGAGAAGCCAAGCGACAAGTTTTGACACTATTTTCCGATAGAAAAATAGAAAGAAAAAAGAGGCACCAGATGTTTCACAGAAGAGATCATCTGAACACATGACACGACTCTTCTGTTCTCTGCACACAGATCTCTGTGAAGTCAGCCAAGAAAAACCCATGGTCCCTGGTCACACTCTGGGCTTCTCTGCTTCCTCTGGGAAGGAAAAGTCATGGTAGTCAGTGTCCGAGTTTCCCCTCCCACGGAGGGGCCTTCCCGAGAACCCACCACAATGAACACTTAGAAAATGTTCAATAAATAGAAAAGTATTTCTTTTTATCCATTCAGGCCACGCTGCTGATACAGCAAAAAAGAGTGTGCTCAGAATGGAGGGGTTGCATTCCTCTGGTCTGCAGCTCTCCTGAAGGCCCTCACCCTGAGCCGGGAGTGGAGAGCAGCCTGTCTGGTGCAATGCACGATGAAGTGCTTTGGGACTAATGCGGGCAAATCCTTCTGCTGCACAGTCTGCCTTTTGAATTAATTCCAGAGTGTGGAGTCTGTGCACACCATGATGGAAAGTGAGCATGCACACGGTGTGGGAAGAACAGGAGTAAGAGCAAGATTGCACTTCTGAGGACACAGGAGGATACCAACTGAGGCAATGGAGCGAAGGGCAGAACAGGAATTAAACTTTTTCTAAAGTGAGATTATCTCAACTTCTGAAAGAG